TCAGCACAAAGAAAGACAAGGACTTATTAGAGTTTGATACTCTAGATGTCACGACATATTCTTACCAAGTATAGCAATGATTACTACACACAGTAACTGTGGAGGCATCTGTTCATTGACACCCTCAGTTCTGATGAATTTTATCTTGTGCTTCATTAAGGTCAGATTTTTTTCAATCTGTGGGTCATGAAACAAATTTAGCCACTCCTCCACATTTATTTTGAACTGAGACACATAAAGAGGCTAGAAATCTTGCCAACAGAAAATGTCAGAGTGCAATAACATTGTAAGGTGAGCTCTGCTGGTGAAATGGGTTTAGAGTGTGTGTCTGTGTTTCTGCGTGTCTGTTTTATAATGCATTTCTTATTGTGGGTAACAATTAAAATTGGAAAACCACTGTGGCAGTAATACCTTCTATTGCTTTTCATTGCACTCATGCTATATTGGTTGTGATTAAACCTTGAGTCCAAATCAAATTCTATGTTTAATGAAGTGACAAGTGATACAGACCTCAGTTATAAGCCTGGCACACAGGCAAGCATCTGGTTTAGTGAACTCTAGTTACATTTTACCAGATGAAATACTTGTAGCGTGGAAATGAAACCATCATTTGCTGCATTATTTTAACATTAGTTTTCTATTCTGAGTTTGAAACCACAAAATTAGATGCAATATATAAAATACAAGCAAATAATATTAAGCTTCCTAAGATACTGGCTTCTTTTATTACGATCATTCATTTATTCAGCAATTATTTCTTGAATGGGCACTATGTATCCAATGATAGTTTGTCTGCTGGAGCTTCAATGGTGCAAAAGACAGACAAAGTTTCCCAAATACAAATACAGCCATACCTTGGTGGGGCAAAATTTTGCTTCCATTTGGTAACACAACATCAGAGACTAACACGACTATAACTATCTTGCTTGCACTCGTGGAACAAATTCAATCATGAACCAAGGTACCGTGGCTATTTTGTATCACGCCTTTGTATTAAATTTGAACTTCTTGTAATTACTACAACAGATTATAAAAATATTCAGAGGCAAACCACAGAAATACATAAAGGAAGGAGAATATTTCAGCATTCAACTGCAATGTAACCAAGGAAATCATATGACAGTGCATACTTCATAGAATATTGTACTTTATAAAATGATTTTAATCTATTCCTTGTGGAAAAATTAGAAAACATATACTCATCCATAACCCATATTTTGCAAAATTAAGAGTCTTACACATTAGGGAATGAGTATCTGAACTACATTGTACTGTGATTCTAAAGTTTAACAGTTCTCTATAGAGAGTATAGTTTTTTAAAGAGAGGCAGCTCGGAATTTTCACATGAAATTGAATTTTTTCTTTGTCTTTTTAAAAAATGTGAGTGATGACGTATATAAGGTGGGAACATTTTTTGTTTGAAATTTCGGAAACCAGTCCCTTTTTTCCTAACATTATTTGTGAATACTGTGCTAGAACTCATAAAATTCAATCTGTTTCTTCTGATATCTGAAAAAAATGGAGTTTCAGTATGTTTTAGTTTTACTATGGGCTAAGATGTTAGGTAGAAAAAGATCAACAAATTTTACCTCACTGTTGAAGTATTTCAATAAAATACATATTAGGAGATGTTTCCACTTACTCTATTGCTTTACACATATTTTTCAGTGCTTTTGTCTCTTTTTATCCCACATTTCATGGATCTTCTCACTCACTTCCACAGCTACTAATCGCCATCTTTAACTGCCATTTTGAAACTTTGTAGGAACATAAGGATTTCCTGGTCATCTTTTGAAGTTAATTTTACTTACTTTAACCCACTGTCTTTTTACATGTTATTAAACTCATTATTGTAAAATGTCCTACAACTTACATCAGCTTTTGAAGATTTATCTTATTTTTCAGGAGCTCTGAGTATATATCATTTCCACTGGAAAGAAGAAAGACAAAAAGGGAACTAACATATAAATGAAGAAAAAATATTTGATAACTCACCCTGTCCCTACTCCATCCTGCCCTTTTTTAAGGAGAAAGGAATAAATTCATTTTCAGGAAATGTTGAAGGTTCAGAATGCCAGAAACAAGTTATAACAATGACACTTTCAATACTAAATTTTTTTTAATCTGTAATAATCTTAAAAAAAATAATGTTTTCTTTCTGCCTCAACTTTTTATAACGTCAAGTTGTTACGAAGTATTCATTTTTCATGCCCTTACTGCGACATCTGCCTCATTTACCTTTGCATTAGATGAGGTATAGTTGATTCAGTAGGAGGAGGGTTTCTTTCTTTTTTTTATTAGAACATGTTTCAGTGCATAATGATGACATTCGTCATGGGAAGTTGGTGCACATACACAACACATCTTTTTTTAAAGCCCCTACTGTTCCCCTCTCTCTCCTCTCCCTCTGTCTTGGTGCTTCCCTTTTGCAAAAGATCTATCTTGCTGTTTCCTATTAACTTTTATTTTGCTTTATAATTTACTTATATTTCGGGTTTCTTGTGAAAAAGTCATGTCATTTTTAAACGTGTTTGATTTATTTCAGTTAGGGTCTCAAGTGCATCTATTTTCCTATAAATGATTCAAATTCGTTCTTTATGATAGAGTAGTAAGTACTCCTTTGAGAGTAAACACCATATTCTCTTATCTATTCGTCCATTGGTGGACTTATAGGCTGGATTCAAGATGTAACTATTATGAGTTGCACTGTGGTAAACATGCATGCCCACACACATAAGATGTATTCATCTCTTTCAGAAAGATACCTAAATATCTAGGCCCAGTGGAATTCTCAGTTTTAGTTTACTGAGGAATCTCCACACCGATTTCCATAGTGGTTGTACTAGTCTATATTCCCACCAGCAACTTTGAAGTTTCTTTTTCCTTGGAGCCTCTCCAGCATTTGTTATTATTTGGTTTCTTGGTGATGGCCATTCTTTCTGGAGTTAAGATGGAAGCACAAATGACCAAAAAATATGTGAAAGAATGTTCAACATGGCTGATGTGGGAGAAATGCAAATTAAAAGAACACTACACTGTGAACTTTTTAGATGAACAGTTTGGATTGAGATCAGACCAAGCTAAGACAAAAGATTTTCTTTGACAAATGTATCAGTGATGGGTTAGCGATTTCTGAAGAATAAAAATTTAGAAAGGGAATCATTATGCATGCTGAGAAAATTCACATGTAAACACTACTTTTGTGCCTCTTCAGAAGTCTTATGTATCACTTCTCTTTTGTCACACACACAAAAAAAGTTCTAAATATAAAGGAAAGAAAATGTATATTCTTTCTTCTTCTTGATATTCCTTTAGGGTCTAAAATTAGCTGGAGGCCCAGCACAGATGGAGAAAGTAACTTTGAACAATGATGATTTCCTAGTGCTGCCCTAGGTTTCCTCCTTTTCAAATCAGGTTGAGCTTTATTCCTGAATCAACAAAAACACAGCATTACACTTTGCTTTTGATAACATTGGTCAGTACTAAACCAAAGGGAATGAATCACATCTGAGGAGGGGTAATGTTACATGATATATGAAGGCGCTAATTTCTATGAATTCTTGTTGTGTGCCCTGAAACTGCACAAATTAACATTTACTAGATGATGGTATTTTAATCATGACAAGACGCAAGGACATGAATATTTTACCTACATTGCATGGGGTTAGAAATTGAAACAATTTGGGGGGCTCCAGAACACTCAGATCCAGATAAGTTTTTAGGAAAGTTATGATTCGAATATGATTCAAGTTTATCGATGAATAGTTCGGAATGTTGTTTGTCGTTATTCGTGTATATCCAGGGAGGTATGTAGGACTTTTCATAATGCTGTTTATCCCTGAAGAATGACTTTGTTTATCTTTTTCTTTTGGGACACTTATGAAGGGCCTGGAGCTGACCGATGCAACATAAACTTGAATTTAAAAAAAACCTTAAGAGTTCGGCATCCCAAACATTTTAGTTGGCTTTCCTCCTCAGTATTTGCACCATAGTACCAGCAAATAACAGATACAATTTCTGGAGATTTTGGAGGAAATAACTAATTCCAGGTAAAAGCAACAACAAAAGCAAAATGCGTATTTTTTAATGATACCTAAAAATTTCCATATTCCTTCACTATAGTGGACATACCGTTAGTTTATAGTTTTGGGATGGGAATGTGGGAGGGTAAATAATCCAGAATTTAATTTTTTGCTACACTGAGGTTTGAATAGAGCATCTTTGCTTTGAACTACATCAAGGTCCCCCTCCCTTTTTCCACTTTTGATTTAGAGGCAGGATCTCCTTAAATTTTTGAGTTGACCAGCCTGGGCTCAAACTTGTGGTCCCCTATCGGCCTTTCAAAGTGCTGGGACTATAGGCATTGGCTACCATACCCAGTGACGGTTCTAAAAATGGTATCCCAGAAAGTTCTGGAAACCCTGCAGGGCTGCCATGCCGTGCACCAATGCAGAGAGCCATGCAGCCTCTGCGCAAGAGAAGAGCCAGAGGCCAGGAGAGGTCTGCGCGAGGCTGGGGACCAGGCCAGTGAACCGCAGAGGTGAGGCAACCTGCGCCCAGTTTCACCTCTCAATATGCCTTCTAATCAACAATGGTCAGATTTGTCCCGGATCCTCTGCACCACGCTGAACCCAGGGAGGCAGGTACAGCTTTTCCTCCTGTAAAGTGAAAACTGGGCAGCCTCTTCTCAGATCTGATAGTTACACTGCACTGCAGGACGTCGCGTTTTTCAGTTTGCAACCGGAAGTGGCTGGAAAGCCTCAGAGTCTGCAAAATCACAGGGCAGGAGATAAACTTTTCCAACACCCTATTTTAATATTGTGCTAAGCCATCGACTCTTTTTTTTTTTTTTTTTTTTTTTTTTTTAAGGAGTTGAATATGATCCTTCCCCTCCCCCGCTCTTTCTGCCTTAAGTTAGCCTTTGGGGGGCCAAGGGGGCTGCAGCTTGGCCCCAGTCTCAGACGCGCTGCCAAGGGCTTGTAACACAATCCCTGCGCGTTTGCAGGGTAAAACAGTGTCAATTGCATTTGCTGTCCACCAGGAAAAAAAAAGAAAGAAAGAAAAAAAGTAAGCATTCTCCTTCCGCCCGCTCTAGGCGGGCTGCTGGAATGTGGCAACGCGTTTCTGGCAGGGGGAAATCGATTTCCCCAGCAGCCCCCAGAGCAGCCCCGGGCGCAGCATGAAGAGGGGCGGCGCGGCGGGCGCGCCTGCGGCCGGGCTGCGGGGGTGCGGGGAGCCGCGGCTGCAGGACCTGAGCCCCGAGGAGCCCGGCGTGCGGCCCCTGCGGCCCTGAGCGCCCGCACTGACCGCACCGCACCGCACCGCACCGCACCGCACCGCACCGCACCGCACCGGGCCGGACCTGGTGAGCCGGGCCGGGCGCGCTGAGGGGACGCGGGAGGGGCGCGACCCGGGCAGGGCGGGGAGGTCGCACCGCGTGACCGCTCGTTCCCCTGCGAAGAGCCGCGTGGTCCGGGTCGCCGGGTGCAGCTGCCCGGAGCCCGGGGGAGGGCGCAGCCAACCAGGGCCGAAGGGAGGTGTCGCAGCCGCCTCAGGGCGCACATGCGAGTCCTCCCCTTGCGCTGAGCTTGGAGAAGGCCTGGGTGGCCTTCATCCCTGGTGCCCAGCACTTAAATGCGTGGAGCAAGATGCCAGGAAAGATTCCAAGTGCTGGAGGCTGGCTGGGGGAGGGGGTACCCACAGATTTCCAGGGATGGATGGGATGGAGTTGAGTTTTTATTTTACTTATTTTGTTTTTGAATAACCAAAAGCTTGCCTTTGGGAGGGCCTTGTATTAGGTGGTTCTTTTTTGTCCAATTCAAAGAGCAGACTGGGAACTGGAATTGGGCAGCAGGAAAGCCAGCTTTGCTTTAAAGCATTGATTATACGGGCAAAAATGACTTGTATCACACCAGTATGGTACACAGTATGGACGTCTGAAGTTTCTAATCCTTGGCAGGGAAAGGCAGCAAAAATCAGGAGTTTAATAGATGCTGTTTTGCAGGGTCCAGTACACAGGATGGTGGCAGCCAGTTTCCCCAAACTTTTCCTTCATTTAATCTTTCTCAGAAATCACAGTCTTTACCCTGTGCACCGTCTTTTCCTCTTGCACCTTCATCCTTTCCCACTCAGAAGCAGACAAAACTGGACTTGATCGCGTACCTCCCAACCCTGTTCATAAAAGCCAGATTAATGGGGGAGGAGGAAATAAGATCCGCAGGGGCTCAGGAACACCCGTGTGGCCTCCTAGTGTTAAAATAAAGGCTCAGACAGGTTGGATGGCCAGCCAGGCAGAGGAAGTCCGCCTTCCCTCCCCTCCTGTCCCTGGAGACTGGCAAGGCAAGGCTAAGAACTTGCACGAGCTGCTGCTTTGCTCCAGCCTCTCTCTCTCGGCCCTGTGAGCCCTGATGGCCAGATTTGCCCTGCTGGTCTTGAAGATTGATCAATGAGCTCCTTCCCAAGGAATGCTTCCCCCTAACTGTGGAGCAGGCGGTGGCTGTGGTGGGCCTGTCCCACATGGGTGTCCGAGTTCTGACTGCCTAAGAGAAGGTAAGGGCTGCAGGGCTGAGTCCTCCGTCCACAGTGTGCCGGTGCGGTGCTGTGTGCAGTGGAGCTCCTGCCTGTGGCTGAGGGGTCTCTAGCGCGGACAGGTAGCTTGGATTTCAGCCCCTGCGCTCCTAGACGTTGGGCTTCCTTCTTTACTTTATGGCTAAACACTCAGTTTTGGTGAGGTGGATTGCACTTGCTGGGGAAATAAAGTCACATGGCAAAATTTACTTCTACAGGTGCCAAAAGGATGTGTGGATGCCCTTGAACTTTCTAGTATCTGGGTAAGGAAGTTTGGTTATACTCCGTCTTGTACGCAGGCTGGAATGTTGAGTCTTGGTTGTTTTAGAATTTTACCTTAGCACTAGAAGTCTGCACTGTGGACTCTGGCAGCCTTTCAGCACCTAAATTACCTGGTTTGAAGAGAAATGATGGGGCTACCAGTCTGTTTACACGGATGCTCTCCTTTCCTATTGCAGTTGTCCTAGCATTGAGTTGCTGTTTTTGTGGTTTTGATCATGTGCCCCAAACAAGACCTACCGTTTCTTTCCATTTCTCCTAAGGATCTATCAAGGGCTGGGGCTGGGGCCGGGTGGTGGAGTTCTTGCCCCGTGTGCACAAAGCCTGGGTTTGATCCCCAGCGCGACCAAAGCAACAACAAGGACAACAGCAACAACAAATTTCTTCCCTAAGGAGCTATCAAAGTTTTTACATTCACAACTGAAAAGAAACAAAGCTAGAAGATAGATCTGGAACGAAAATAGAAAATATGTCTTCTCAAAATGCTAATATATGTGTAAATAATCTCTGTTAAATGCTTTTATGGTCAGCTTAATTTAATTTTTGTTCTATATGATTTTATATATATGTATATAATGAGTTATGTATATAGTGTTATTATTATGTTATATATATTATATATATAACTCATAATATATATATATACATATATATATATATATATATAATGTAGAACTCTCCTACCTTTTGATTTACTTTAAACTTAAGTAAATCAGAAATCTTTGTCTTATAAACAATACAAAAAAATCTACTCTAGCGTTAAGATTTACCTAACCCATTTGTATGAAGTTTTGTGCGTCTGCTGCCAAACCAGGCACAATTTAGGTGAAGCTTCGAAGTAGCCCTTTGAGTATTACAATGAATGACTATTGCATAGCTTTCTATTCCAGTGATGTTTCAGTCTCATCTGGTCAAGGCAGAAATACCTGTGCTAAATTATTTGGAAAAGTGGTTTAATAAACTTTAGAAAAATAAACTTGAAAACCCCTTGATACTGTAAAACGAAGAGCATCATAAAACATCAATGCCCGCTCTGTCACAGTTTTTGGTCGTGATTTGAGAAGGACTTGTTACCACTGTCCTGTTCAGGTCAGAGCATCAAAGGCTGGGGAATGAGAGACTGGATTCCGGGAGGGCTGAGTAGGATGGCTGGCCTGACTTTGCCTCAGTAGCCTTGCTAATTTAGGCAAAAATGTTCTTAGGCTTCCAGTCTTTTACTATCGACCAGAAATTCCATGAGATACTTTTTGTGTGTGAGTGTGTGTGTATGTGTGGTAGGAGGGATTGAACTCACGACCTCACCTTTGCCAGGTAAGTGCTTAGACCACTGAGCTAAATCCCAAGCTGAGATATATTTTCTAAGGTCCTTTTACATTCAAAGATCTTGTTACATTGTTACAAAAATTTTCCCTGAATTTTGCCTTTATATTTGGTGATTCTCTTTTATTCCTGGACAAGACACTTCCCAGATAGAGGTAGAGATTCCACTGCAAGCTGTGAAACCACTTTTCTGAATATATTGCAGGCTTTATTTTCTGCTAGATCCTTAGATTAAGACTTTGCACCCATAGCATTGGCTGAAAATATACATCATGTAGACACATTGCCATTTATCCACAAAGAATCAGGTAAGCATTAAAGGTACAGTGGTGAAACAACCATTCTTGATTGCTTGCTCTTTGAGCCCAGTTTGAAAGGTCACATTTTCTCCCTCTAAATTTTGGAAGCTTTGGGAGTTCAGAGCACATTGTAATTTAAAAACACAGTGTTGATGGCCTATACTTTTTGTTTCCAAATTATTTGATATGCGTAGCACACAAAACTGAATAGACTTGGTGAGGTCAATACTTTAGGTGGAGCAAAGAGGACTTTCAAGTCCCTTGGTTTGGGTTCATTAGGGCTCATGGGTTTCAGTATCCATAGTTGAGTGTGTGTGTGTGTGTGTGTGTGTGTGTGTGTGTGTGTGTGTTTGTGAGAGAGAGAGAGAGAGACAGACAGACAGACAGACAGACACAGACAGACAGACACAGAGACAGAGAGACAGTGAAAAAGAGAGAGACAGTCTATTAGTTTATGATCTTTAACTGGTAACAAAAATATATCATAATCTATAACTAAAACTTTAAAACAGCACATATGCACTATTCTCTTTAGACCTCAACATTTCATCCTGGGATGGCATGTTTACCAATATGAATGAGACTTCAGAATTTTTCATTGTTTATGGGTTTATTTCATTCGTATTTTGCTGGATTTCTCTTCTTCCCCTTCTGTTCTGTCTTTCTTTGTTTACAGTTTCGTAAACTGTTCCTATTGTGTAGCAACACTGTATTTCCTTCCAAATAAGTCAGTGCAAGTTTCATTTTGATGCATTTTTGGATGGTGATAATGACAATATTGCTTATAAAAGTACCAACACAGATATTGAATCCTTACAATATCATTGAAGTGTTAGCCTTCAGTGTACATACTGAACGCAGGCACAGAGAGAAAAATTACGTAGCTAGAATAGAACAGTTACTTAATGGTGACATAGTGGTGCCATTATTTGCCCCAAGGACTTCTGATTCCAGTTCTCGTAGTCCATCTATTAACCTGGTTTCTTAGTGGAATTGCACAGAAGCAGTAGTGACCTGATGCTGATCTGACTTTATCATTGCTTTTCTTTCTTTTCAGTATTTTCAGTATTTCAGCATATTTTCTATGCAACGTATTCTAACATGTCAACAGTCAGTCAGGCCAGTGTCACCAGTGCACACCTCTAGGTGTCGTGAGAGAGCCCTTTTCTTCTGCCTTGTCTTCACTGGGAATCTGGAGCAGACTAGACAGTCTCTGCACATGTGCTATTTTACTTATGGAGTCGTTAACTTTTTCTTCTTCCCTTGGGCTTGTTCAATTCTCATCATATCCATAATTGTTATTCCAGAATCATTTGACTATGGAAAGAAAGAACAAAACACACGCACAGAGTCTTTGAAGAATTTTGTATTAAGTTTCTTCGTGTTTTTCCCTTTAAGCCTTATTTTTCCAAATTCCAAGTCTTGAGGATTGAGTTATCCACGTTTTGATAGACCTGGAGAGCTTATAGGAACCACATTTTACCACATCCATGAAAATATTTAAATTCTTACCCCTTGAAAATAGTTGAACTTAATGTTTTCCAAATTTGTTGATCAAGATTTTTAAATATTTGAATCATATAAATTGTATTGGGAAGAATTTGTAGTGTTTAAACATACAAAAATGTTTTTTAAATCCTTAATATAACTTTTTAAGATCTAATCATTAATCGTTTCATTCTTCCATCTTCAAAAGCTGCATCTTGACATCTATGGGAATTTTGAAAATTTTGAATAAATTCTAAATACTGAATGATCTTTTTGTTAGTTTGTTCTTTATGATCTAATTTGATTGCTCCAGAATAATTTACCATTTGTTCAAAATCAATCAAAGGGTCAAATTCAGTAGTTATCTTTTTAGCTGGAAACTTCAAACTTGTTTGATCTTTTTACTCACAATAATTTAAGTATTTGAATTGGAATCTGCTTCACCAGAGGTAAATTCCTAAATTTTGATCATGCTAACTGCATCCCCTCTGTGTCTCCTGTATTTGTCTCAGCCAAATGAAAATCTAAGACCTCTATGTAGGGATGCTCCGCTGAGCCATCAAATCATGCTCAGTTGCTGCTGATCAGGAGAAATCGGGGTGATATCATAGTTCTTTTCAGAAAAGAGGTAAATAGCAGTATCCCTATCTACAACAGTGAATTTAAGTTTCTGCATAGTGGTCATATGCTTAATTGTTTAACTTTGGTTGCACATGAATCTCCAATTAATCTTTCTTTGTCTTGTGTTGACCTCCTGGGCAATGTACCTCTATTCTTCCTTTTGCTTCCCACTAAAATTTTGAATACATAACAAGTACCAAAGTAAAATTTTTCTCAACCATGTTTAGTGTTTTTCCTAAGTGATCATCTGTAAGTATTAGGAGATAGTTTGGGTTACATTTCTGGCAAAACACAAGACAGATTACATGAGAAATAAATGTGCTACTGTCAAGGAAAATAAAAACTTCACTGTTTAGCAGTATGGAAGAGAAGGATTGTGTCCCTCTGTCTCACTGCGATTGTTACATGCCATTAGGCTTGCTGTAAACTATCCCTTGATGAATTCTTTGTGGACAATGAGCTTTAGATGCTGAGGTGTCTTCTTGCTTTTATAGAGCAAAATAGGACTCTGAGGCTTCAATGGAAGTTGCAGATCACATAATAGGGTGTAGATAAAGTTACTGAGCGGCTACATCTCACTTTCAGGAAAATAGTGGGAGAGATTGTGTCTTGAGAAGAAAGACATTTTAGAGGTAGCTCTTAAGATTTCAGGTGGTTATTTAAATGTATCGATCATGTGCTTAAATGTTATTATTACTTGATTTCTGAGGCTAGCTGCACCTATGGAAATCTTAACTCAGGGAGATATTTTATTTTATTAGAAGTGAAAATAATGTTAGAAAATTGGAGTGGAAAATGTTTTAGGACTTGGTGTTTAATCACAGGGTTAGAAGACAACCTTAGGACTTTAAAGGAGTGATATCATTTTTAGCTGGGAGAGAATAAACAATGCTGATATTCTGATTCCTGTGTTGACAGTTTAGTAAGGGTCCACATTTGCACTGTTTTGCTCTAGATATTTACACACCTAATATTTTCAAAGAAAATTTATTTTTTTAAAAAAATTACCAAAGTTATTAGCAATGAAAGTTTGCCCTTTACTTGTGGGTTTATAACATGTATTCGATATTTGCTCAATTTCCCAACAATATCTTATACTTGGTGATGGTCACGTTTTGGTTTTTCTAAACGTTGTTTTATTTTTTATTTTCAAATGTAATCTTTAAAATAAATTAAGCTATTATAATTGAATCAGATTTGAGATTTATTAGAAGGGAATACTATGCAAAGTTTCAAAGACTAAAACTCAAAAAGAGCATGTAATTTATGTTAGTAACTTTAAAATATCATACATAAGAAGTCCTGGGGCTATAGCTCAATGATAGGGCACTTACTTAACACATGCAAGCAGCACCATAAAAAGTGAAACCCCGGTGTACCATATAATATTTTTAAAACTTTTATTTTAAAGAGAATTACAAAACAACAGACAAAGCAAATCAGAACAGAACAATGCAAGCAACTCAAGACGGCTTGCATTGGGACAATAGGACATCAATAGTGGCTACCATAATGTCTCTTGTTTTCTTCAAAATAGTTCTTGCTTGTTGCTAAATTTTTGTTGCCATTCATTCAAACACATCTGATTATTTCATATACATTCTATATTTATATACAAAGTCAAATCTTCTCTGTGGCTTAATTTTACCTGTTTCAGTATTGCTTCTGTAGTGCAGAGCCAACTATATACTCAAACATCTTTTCCATGCGTAGGGATTTGAACTAGCCATTAGGTGAGCAGGCTAATGAAACCATCGGTTTTTTATATACATGTAAAACACTTGAGTACTTATACCTGAAAAATGCTGAACTTTATATGTAAAACTGCAAATGTAGAGAGATACAAAACAAGAGATTTGATAGTAGAGGACCAAAACAAAACAAAACACACACAAGGACGATATTTGTTGAAAGTCATGTGTAATTTTTAGTTGTCAGTATGGAGTCTTCATCTGTTTTGTCAAAATGTGTCGTTGTGGGAATAATACTTGTCTTCAAGTATTAAGACCCAGATTCAAAGTGAATTCTGATGAAGTCTAGCTGTACAATTTTGTTGAAGGCGGGTTTGTTCTCCAGCTTTGCTTTCTGTGACTATCAGAGAGAACTCTGCCGGAGACTCTGCATGAATCTTTCTTTCTGGCCACTGATGAATTCTTTCATCATGAGTGCACCACTGCTTGGCCATGCTTAATCTTTGAGGAGATAACTGTAACAGTAAAGACACTAAGTTTTCCACGAAGTGCGCAAATACTGTGACAGATAATATCTAGTCCTAAAATTATGTGTAAATGGATGGTTTCAAGAATGAACCCAAACAAAAGTTACAATGGACACTCCAATTTCAATTAACCACTTTTTATTGTCTGAATAAATGTAATTTCTTGCCTTATGTTGGTCTTTTCCAACTGCATTGTTTTATGTAAGCTACAAGCTCACTGTTTGATTTTCTACTGACCTTTGCTTATTGCCGCTTGCTACCAAATGCTTGGGCAAAAACTAGGGGCCCAGGACAAATAAATAGTGTTTAATAATTAATGACCCGAACTGATGTTATAAAAATGCTCATGGATCTGGCTCAGTGGTAGCAAGGTTTTAACGGGAGAAGTTGTATGAAAAACAACTGTGTTTTTGTTTCCAAAACAGGTATTACAAGCGGATAAAGTAATGTGTACTGCTCTGAGCCCAAAGGTACGCAGTGGACCTGGCCTGTCTGATATGCATCAGTATAGCCAGTGGCTGGCCAGCAGACATGAAGCTAATTTGCTCCCGATGAAAGAAGATCTGGCCTTGTGGTTGACCAATCTATTAGGTAAGGTTATAAGATACATTTTGTGAGCACAGATAGCAGTATTTGTAAGGGCTGTTTTTTTTTTGCTCTTATAGTGTATTTCACCAAAGCATGTGATCGCACCTTGGAAAGAAAGACTTTCATTATTTGGTTTTTTCATCTGGCAAACCTGAAGCATAATGGAAAACTTAAATGAATTTCCCCCATGTCTCTCACATGCTCTGTGCTTCATAATTCCAGCCTCATGCGCTGAAGTGTGAAAGTATGTGGTCGAATTACTTCTTTCATTTATGCGTTGGTTGATTTATTTTTGTCTTTTCTTTTGTGCAGCTGACCGATATAACCTATTCTTCTGACACTATTCACAAGGCATGATCTGAAAAGTAGCTTCTAAAACTGGATTTCTTTGCCCTACTTTTATAGCACACCTATTAAAACTGCTGAATACCCACACTCAGCAGCACAAACATCTACCCTTTGTCCAGAGGAGCTGACTGGAGTCATCTAACCTTGAACTAAAACTTTTCCTCTCTATTTCTCTTTGTTTTTATGTACTTATCTCAAAATGTTGTTGGTATCTCATGCTAAAGTTGACTCTTCTCTTGCATCTGGCATGTCTATAAGATAAAATGTCAACCATGTGTGAGCTGGATTTACACGTTTAGAGGATTGTTATATATGTTCACTGACACTACTGCAACTCATCGGTTTTCTAAGTGAGCAAAGTTGATTTACAACTCAAGGAAAGGGGTGTGGTGGAGTTTATAAAGTATATTATTTGAATATTGACCAGAGACACTGACTGGTACTTTAATCATTTACAGAAGAGATTTCCCCAAGACCGTTTTATTATTGAAGCCATTCTCCAAGTTTTGTGTTGCTGTCTTTACTTTCTAGGTGAGAAGCACAGTGTCCTTCTGAAATTTTGCCAAAATTTGAACACCTTTTAGTTAGACTTTCCTTCTCACCCTGACTGTGGGTTTTTATAAAGCTTGTTGTATTACTTCTGTTTTGGGCTAGATGTTATTTTTATTTTCTTTAATTTTTTAAATTTTTGATTTAGATGTTCATTTTTCTTTTCTTTGCTAAGTTTACTCTCTTTGGGCAGATTTGTTATAATTTACCCAGAGCACAAAATGTGTGTATGTGAGCTGTACTCTTCACAAATGTGTTCTGCCAAAGAGTGATGAGGTCAGAAGGGAGCCCCAAAAGACCACTCATTCTCCTGTGGAGCTGTCTGTACCAGGAGGGAAGCGTTAGCTCCTCCAGCAATGTTTTCACACAAATGAGAAGCTTTTATCTCCAGCACATGGAAGAAGTTATTCTAGCTTAATTATACATTTTCTCTATTTCGTTTGTCTTTTCTGGGTACTGCTAAGGATTGTTGTGTTAGCAGTTTATTAACACTCAGCTGTCTAGTAAAGCTTAACAATTTTTCTCTTTATATTGATACATGTTTACATAATGCTTATATTCAACTTGGGGAATGTGTGTGGATATATATATATAATTTTTATTTCCATTTTTCCCCAACCCTGTCCTCTGCCCTTATCTCCAGATCCCAAATGGATCAAAGACCTAAATATGATAAAAAGAAAACACTAAAATAGGGAATAAATCATTAATATATGTAGAATATTTGGAACAATGTCTGGCATGTAATACACTAAATATTTGTTATTCCATTTTTATAGTTCAGGGAAACTGTTACTTGATTTTGAGTATAAGTTCATTCATCGATTATACGAATATTTGAGCATAAGTTATTCATTGAAAAAAATGGACTCTGGGATAGGAATGTGCAATTCACATCTCAGCTCCAGCCTTTACCATGGAATTCTGGGAAATATCTTTTTAACTGCACCTCAGATTTCTACTCTGTAAAATTAGTGCAACACCAGCCTTAAAGTTTTGTTGGTGGTCTGAAATGACACCCTCACCTTTAGAACAAGGTCCAGCAAAGACTAATGAAGCCCTAACAGTGAGGCTTGTGGTTGTGTTCCAGAGTCTGGCAGGTGATGGGTTCTGCTCCTATGAGACACTGCAGGTTCTACATGGCCAGTCCATCGTGGTGCTGACCCCTAAAACAACAGCTCACCTGTCCTGCACTAACTCTTGTGCTGTCTTCTGGTCCCAAAACAATGAACTTTGTGTCTCCCTTTTGTGCACTCGCGAAAGGTCCTCCAATCCCCTTTGTGACACTGCCCATTCAGATAGTCTTCACTCTATGACAAAAAAATCCTCCAGTCCTCTCCCAACATGATGACTTGTCCACTAGCGTACACTCCACCCCATCCCAATCCCATAGAAGTGACTCCTCGGCTTTGTCTCCTTGGAGGTTCCTTGCAGTCTCCAGCGGCCTTCCCTCACTAGCACTAATGGCTTTACCTCTCCCTCTCTTCTTTCTTTCTTTCTTTCTTTCTTTCTTTCTTTCTTTCTTTCTTTCTTCCTTTCTTTCTTTCTCTTTCTTTCTCTCTCTCTCTCTCTCTCTCTCTCTCTCTCTCTCTCTCTCTCTGTCTCTCTTTGTCTCTGTCTCTTAACTGCTCCATAAAAGCGTAACTGCAGGTACTAGGGGCTAGTATGATGATTAAAAATAGACACAGCAGCAAGTTTTGCAAAGCATAGAGTTTGCAAAGGAACACAGGTCATTTAACCTGTCAGTCATTGACCTTGTTACAAACTCTGAAGGATCTAGGCTTCCATTAGAATGTGAAATGGATGGGCTTAGGACAACATACTCGAAGGCTTAGGGGGGCATCCTCTCTAAGGGACTTAGATTTAAACTGAGACCTGAGGAAAGATGGATAGCTATCCAGACAAGGCAGACGGTAAGCACGTTTAGGGACTGGTGGACATAGGCTTAGGCAGGAAGGAGTTTCATACTGAAGAGCTGAAGAAAGCCAATGTCAGCCTCATGGGAAGAAGGAGTCTCCAGAGGATTACTGGGGGGTATGTCACATACTGCTCTGAGGAGCACGGTGAGGAGCTTGTCATTCACAGCATGATTAGGAGGGGGCACTGAGATGTCCCAGTCAGAGGAGCAAGTGGTTAATTAAAGCACAGCCTAATTACACAGGTGTGCCCCAGGCATCCCATGACTTGTCATCAGAAGCATTGTATTTAGGCAGTGCGATCATTTACAAGGTAGTGTGGTCAGTGTGAGCAGCCTCCCACGGCTTCAGAGAACAGAGACAGTGTGTGTAATGGAAAGATCTTGAATTCAGAGTCAGGAGGTCTGGCTCCTAACTGGGCATCAGGAGACCTGGCTCCTGATTCTGGCTCTACCATTTAGCAGGAAACTTGCCCAAAGTCACTCAGCTATCTGCTTTGGGCTCAGTGTCCTCAGCCATGAAACGAAGGGGCTGGAGTCTGTGACCTCTAATATCCTTTCCAGTTCCAGAAATCTTAAGTTTCCAAGAAACATAGCTCTTGGTATTTAGTTAGGGGCAGCTCAGGTCATCACTCTGCTCAAACAAGGAAAAGAAGATTTATATAGATAAATGACCTTTTGAAGAATAAGACTGTATGCAAAAGTATTAATAGTTATAAAACAATTTAAATCAATGACTGTGAAGTTTTCTTGAAAGAATTCTGAAAGAATCTCAAGTAAAGTATCACCTTTAAATTGACTTGGGTTCATAAAAAGCAGATTGAGTATTTATTATAAATGAATGCTTTCATGATAACAGAGAGGAGTCCAATGATTTGAGATCATTTAAACTGGCAGAACATTTGCAAGTAGGAAAGCACACGATTATATACTAGAGGGATGTTACCAAGGAAAGGAGGAATAAATATGTAGCCTTTGCCTTACATGTGATAGGTACACTAAATAATCACACATTTTTGAAATGGAACAATTAAAGCTAAAGTAAAATGATTCCTAGCCATTTTGTTACCGCAGAAATTTTTGTGGACTTTCAATTTGTGAATTTTCAAAGGTTACTTTTTAATCTACCTGAACGTTAGAGATGTCTTAAGAGTAGTTTAAAGTTGGTCCCATCTCAATATAAAGTATCCTAATTCTTTGGTGAAGTGGAAATTTGCCTAGTAAGTTAAAGTATATAATTAGGTTTTACTATTGTGATAAGTGGTCTTAATTGTGCAAGGATGGTCTAATATATAATTATTATTTTTCCAAGGGGGTATTAGTGATTCTAAATTCAGATGTTCTGATTTTACATGATATCAGTTTAAAAATGTAATTTTTAGAGAGGACTCAAATCATATTTAGATGTTTTTGACGCACACAATTATTGGATGGAGAAGAAAATGATTACCTTGGTTCATAGACCAATTTTCATATTCATGCCCAGAGGTAGCTATTATGTGTAATTTTCAAGCACTATATACTTATTTAATCAGTAACAATCACACATCCCACCCTAGACTGACTGCTAGACACAGAGTTAAATGAACAGTAGCAAGCTGTCTGCCAGCTAAATTTATAGACTGGAATGTAAAATACTGGTTGGCTTGTTGTAAGTCAACCAGTAAAGCTGAGACCAGGGAGCAGTAGCTGGATGACTGAAAGGGTACCACAACCGGACTCACGAGAATGTCGTGTAATATGTTCTGACTTTTCATATATCTTTGAGTTTATCAACTAATCTTATGGAAAATACTCTTTCTATTCCAGTGTTAAGTCAAACATTCAGAAAAGACATAAAAAGGGCAGAAAGATCCTTATCATCCATCCCTATGAAATGTATATTTGGCCCTTTTCCTGTGTCATACATTCTGTCTTTATTCTAGGCCCTGTGTTTTATTAATTTTGTTCAGTGACACACTAATGATTATTTGTTACTTAACTGTATCCTCATGACATACTGGCACGTTAATGTTATACAGTAAATCTTGGGGAAAGCTGAATTTTTATTTTGAGCAAACAATATGATGTTAAGTCAACAGCCCCAGATTAGAGCCCCCATCTGGTATTCAAATGAATTGGGCACATTCTTCTAACTATATGCGTGCTGATGGACATTTGAGGATTATTGTTGACTTAGCTTCTAAAGGAT